TTTAGCTAAAATGACTAAATGACTTGTGACTTAGTCATCAAGTCATTTAGGTCACATCCGGTCATGTGCCAACACTGTAGTTGGTAGTCGATAAAGAACTATTGTCAGAGATGTAGAACGCTATGGTTAACCAATCTACTGCTAGCGATGAATATCGATTATTGATATCAAGATTTAGGAATGTCGTGAAAGTATTCGCACAAATGTATTCTTTAATGAACAGACAGATTGGAGAGGCAATCATGAGGTTGTTGAATTTAATCAAAGTATGAGATTGGTCATTGATTGTAAAATTTAGAGCAGATGAAGATAGTACAGCTTTTGTCAGTTTATCAGCTGCCTCATTTGCTGAGTCGCCTAAATGTGCTTTAACCATATGAAGTATAATGGATAAAGATAATGCGTTGATGATGTGAAAAATCCCATTCCATATGTATACATTATTGATCTTTAGGAAAGGTCGTTGAGATAGTGATATAAGTGATAGTAGCTTATATCTGTTAAATTGCGATATCACTGTACTAAAGTCTGTGTATATTTTGATTTGGCAATTTGGTGGCGAAACTAAAATTGCTGTGAAAACTGCTGCTAATTCAGCTGTAGAAGGCGAGGAAAATAATGCTGCTAATGCAGAAGAATATGATAATAATAGTGTTGAAGGTGTTGTTTGTAGCCAAGCCAGTCTCATTCTAAGTGCAGGGTTGCCAAGAGAAGTGAGAGAGCCATCTGTGTAAAATTCTAAATTAGTAGAAGAACTAAAATTTGATCTAAGTGTTAGTAGAATAGATGAATGTGATGAGGGGATGAATCTTTCAATAAATAAAGAAGGAATTAAAGGAATAAATAAGATAGTAGGAACACAAAGGTGTGGATTATTACATTGATTAATGAAAGTAAGAGCAAGATCATAGATGAGATTACATGACTATGAACATCAAGAAAACTTTTCAACACTATTATTTTGTAGTGTAGGAATAAAGAAACAAAGATCTCTAGGAATGGTAAAGAAGTAACGGTTATCACTATCTTTCATTTATGGTGGTATTTTGGTAGATGCGACATGCATAATATTTGCTAGATTGGTACTTGTTCTAAGGAGTTTGCCAATAAAGAATTGATCATTACCCAGATTCCAACCAAGTACATATGGATTGGTTCTTGCTTCTTTTACAGAAGGGGAAAAATCAAAATAGTAATTTTTAATATGTGGCATTTTATGCCTCAATTCTCTTATGATAATATCAACAGTTAATCAGTTTTATAGCCAATTGAACCATGCGGATTCACGTCTAACCTGCGAAGAATTCTAATATACCATTAAATCAAAAAGGATTAATATAGTGTTGCTATCAGACGTAGAGAGTTGTTCTATGTAAATAAGAGACATCCTTCTGAGACATGTGAAAAGCTTCTGGTATTCATTAGGGATTAGGTATCATATGGGAGTCGAGCCTCCTTTAATGCAATAATGATCAGCATCAGGAATTTGTAAGAAGAAATTTATATTTTTCCAATCACATAACACATTTGCGATCTAATCATTAGATTTAGTGTTTTTGAGATATGGTTACTCAACTAGAGGGGATATATGTAATCATTCTGATTGCTGCAGTTGACGTAGACAGAGTTTTGTCAATTTTCCTAACACATTGAGTGAATAAGAAGTGCCTCACTCTGTGCTTCTAACTACTTTAAGTGGAAGTTAGAAAGGTTATAAAAAAGATATGAGTGTATGACTAAAGACGGTGTAGCACGTGGTAAATTTAATTTCTTTTTCAAGAAAGAATAATATGGCGTAACAAGATGGTCACATTGTAATAATGTAAATGCTGTTAATTGCGATCAGTATTCAATTCTTGAAATGATAATGGTATTAAAGATGTAGACCAATTGCTTGTCCGTTAATTTTTCTTAAATATAATGTTGATTGCGTTCTTGATTTCATTACTGACTATCTTGAACGTAAACATTTTATTTCTAAAAAGGGAAATCCATACACCTAAATATCTAGTCGACTCTTTATGGGAGAGTAGTGTGATATTCATAGGGCTGTCATTGATCATACAACTAAACAATTGATTATTCTTTTTATTATTGCTCAAGAAAACCAATTTGTTCCAGTTAACTTTAATAAAGTTAAGTTTATAGAAACTATCAGCGATATTCAGAATTTGTGACAAATCATCTTGTGATTTAGCAATCCACAAAGTATCATCTATGTAGGCCAATGTTGTTAGTTTGATTGACTCTATCTCATCTTCATTAATTAATACGTTAGGTTTCCATGTGTGTGAGAGAGAATACCCTAAAGATGAATTCTGGACTCTACAAAGAAGTGGATCATAATAAATGCATCACAAAAGTGATAACAAGATTTCTCCTTGGTCTATGCCTGATAAAACGCAATATAATTTGGTATTTCCAAAAAGTGTGAATATTTGAATAAATCTATTTTCAAACATTTTGACAACAAAATGAATAAATGTATTAGGAATATGAAGACGCTTCATTGTCTTACAGAATATATAAAGATTCACACAATCATATACTTAGATATATCCTGTATAAGTATCCAAAGATCTTTATTATAGTGATCTGCATCATATTTTACATTATCTAAAATATGCAACGGTTCAAATGTAGATTTAAAAGGAAATCCAGTAAAATTAAGACCCTTAAGAACATTGTGTTGAATAATAATAGTAGATAAGTGTCAGTTGAGAAGCTTAATAAGTGCCTTTTGTAGACATTCCAACAATGTGATAGGATGGGTATTATTTAGATCATATTCCCAAGGTTTTGGTTTAGTAATTGGATAAATAAAGACATAATTCTATCTATGAGGTATTAATGAGGTATCAAGATATTCACAAATGATATACTATAGTGCTTTCCTTGTTTTAAAACCAAGGTGTTTGAGCATCTCATTGGAGTCCTTAGATAGTTCAGATGTTTTATCATTAGGGAGAGAGTTGATGACAGTATACCATTCATCCGCTAAAGGCGTCACTATGAGATCATGATAAATATCATTATAAATATTATCAAGTCTTCTCTCAAAAGCTTGCTGAATAGATTTGAGTTTATGATCATTTTCATATAGTTTAGCTTTGATTAAGAGAACTGCCAGCAAAATGTCGATATAAGGTGACAAAAAATGTATCAAAATGAAAGGAGGGTTCTGCAGTAATGCAATAAAAGGAATATCAAAACTTTGTAAAATTGTATAGAATTTACTAATTTGGTTATACCAGTCATCAGGTAGAATCAATGAGCGACATATATGCTTAATAGATTTTTTAAATTTGTAAATAAACTTTAAATTCTTATAGAGAGTTGATAAAAGTGGTGGCTGTTTTAGTTGATAATTCCCTTTTGACTTGTGCGATGGGATGTATTTTTCTGCTGCCTTGACGATACATTCTTGTAGCAGGTCCCAAAAGAAGTTCAATTTTGTTTGATTAAAGGAGACATTATTATTTAACGATTTTAGCAGACAGGTATCTGCCAAGGTATCAGTCTTATTCCTAAATTAGTTTAATTTATCATCAGTCATTTTGTTAAGTTGAAGACTATTTTTAGCAGAAAATTCCTTTTGTTGTATTTGATGTCCAGAAAATTTTTGATTCTTAACAAGACAATTGCATGGTTTGACAATTATGAAGAGATCTCAATTGTTTTATAGTCTAAGAGGTATAGCGCTGTTTCTGTGGAGGCCCAAATATAATCAATCTGAAATGTTGAATTATATAATTTGAAAGTTGGGTAGTTGACATGAAGTTGATTGAACTTCAAAGTGCAGGAATCAAACAAATGTAAGTTCTGTAACATGTTAAAGAGATTTTTGTCCTATGTCGATAGCTGTGGGTTATCCATATTTGCGTTAAAGTCACCTAGCAGAATGATGTGATAGTTGTTCGCCACTGCAGATTTAACTTGGTTGATAAGTTTAGCATGAAAAATTTTTTAGCATTAGCATCTGTTGGAGGAATATATGCATTAATAATTCGCAATTTTTATTTATTGGCGAATTAGAGGTCAACAATAATAATGCAATTGAAGATAATTTCATGGTAAAATATATGATCGGCTAGGTACTGTTTCAAAAGAAGACTGACACCATAACCTGTTGATTGTGTACTTGACAGAAAAAGTAATCCAAAGAAACTATGATATTGCGAAGTGAATGTAAGGTTAAATATAAGAATATGAGAATGAGCGAAATTAGTTTCTTGGAGTCTAATTATGTTTATATTTAATGAGAAGTAATATTCAATAAGAACATTCTGTTTAGCGGGATTAGTGAATGAGCGAACATTATGTGTTGCAAATGATAATTGAGAAATGGAAGTAAAATTAGATGAATCAGAAATGTTTTATGCAGCTTGTGCAGATATTTCAGTAAAGACAGTACTCATTAAAAATATTAAAATTGTTGAAGTCCTTTGAGAAAGTCTTTGACATCACTATCAAAACGTTTTCCAAGTGGAAAAAAAGTGGTCATCTGATCAGTAGTGAGCAAATTGTTCTTCAAAAGAGTTGATTGAAAAGCTGGGCATGATTGTTGATGGTGGAGGTAAATGATTTTAACTTTTTTTGTTGCATTTCATTAATAGTGCATAAACCATCAATAGTTTTATGTTGTTTTGTAATGGTAGAGGCAGATATATCAATATGCAGGATCAAATCACCAATCATATCATCGAAGTTTAAGTTATAGGCATCAGCCTCAACTGGAGTCACTACTTTAATGTTAAATGATTGTTCCAATGATTCAACTCTTTTAACAGTGAATGCTAAGGAATTCATTAAAGCATTCATTTGTTCAGCAAGGTTATAGAATTGCTGTTTTACATATGTCTCAAAGTTATTATTAGAATTGTCATACATAGAACCACCAGCTTTAGTTCTATTGCTAAGGTTACCTCTTAGAGTAGGCAAACTCATTTAGTCTAAATAGTATTCTTGTTCAAGTTCTGTTAGAACATCATTAGACCATGATATGTTTGGCTTTAAAGCATCATTATTTTTCTGTTGCTATTGATTGTGTCTGCGATTGTTCAGCTGTTTATCTTGAGGTGGTGTCTTTTAGAATCATTATCATTTTTGACTTCTTCTTATCCTTTAGTCACGTGAGCAAAGGTGATATGTGGGTTAACTGCACTGGTTAAAATTTTGGAAGGCGCTTTATAGTTCAAAAATTGCGTTGGTTGAAATCTTTGATATAGATTTTGCATATTTTGATCTGCAGGATTTCTTCTACGTTTTGAACAATCACTGGCTTTATGGTGTGGTGAGGAACAAATAGCATAAAGTTTTGCACTAGTTGTTATCTGGATCTCGTGTTTTCTGTCAATGGTAAGGTTATTATTACTGGTGAAAGCTTCAATATCATCCATGTCATCAAAATAGAAGAAGGCATGTTGCAAGTTGTGATAATTGGACCTTGCCTTGGAATAATTCACGCTGTTGCATAAATCATAAGTCTAATATTGCTAAGTTATTTACCTGTAGTATTCCTGGAAAAACTGGCTAATTTTGCTGCATACTTTGATTTTTCTCAGATATCTCTGCTGGATAAGAAACACATATGTATACGTACCATGTCATTAAGCACAAATATACCATTGCACATTTTTAATTTCTTGAAATTCACATTTTCTACATATGTGATAGTGGCTTGCTGTCACATATTTTTGATTTCCATATTAAATCTGACAATCGTACCAAATCAGCTAAAATGGTCTTGATTCTGTGTTCTGTAGAATCAAGAGGGATTTTTGTAACCTTGATCAATTACGTCAGGATAAATGGATGCATTGGTATTACGTTAAGAGGAGGAATGTGCAGTTTTCTAAATTAGGTAACTGAACTGAATACACGTGATCGTAATATTCTTTGTTGTGAAAGGAAATTCTGATAATTCGTTGTGATAGATTCAAAGGGTTTTTTGAAATGACAGCCCAGTAAAGGAGTCATATTTGTCAAATAAGAGATCAATGATGAAAGACATTTTTTGTTGTGACAAAGTTTCAGAGAACTTGTCAAGTGGGAAATAACCATGAAAATATGTCTTAGGTCTATCAAACGCTTGAACTAAAGGAGTGTTCAGGTCCAAAAAATTTTTGGACGCATCAAAACTCTCATCGACGTTTAGTGAAGTGTTAGAGGAGTTATCTTGAGTATCATCCAAAGTTTCAGTTTTTTTTTCTTTATTATTAGATAGTGGGTCAACTTCTATAGTTTTAAAAGGAGTGACAATTTGTGAGGTGCTTTGTTCAGATGGTACTTCTAGGGTTTGGGTAGTGTTTCTTTTTTTGTTACTGTTAGTTTTGAGAGGTGACGCTGAGAGCTTTCTTTGGTTGTTCTGCTCTCTATTATTTTTTCGGGTATTTCTAATCATTTTTGTAAAAAGAGAGAAAAAGTTTTTTTTCATTTTGTTTATTTTTTATATATATATATTGTATTATTATATCATATGATCAAATTAATTTTGATTAGTCGTTTTTAAATCCTGAAATTAACATTTAATTAATAAATATAATATATTTTTTTTAATATAAATCACAAAATTTTTATTAAAAATATAAAATATAAAGAAAAAAGAAGAAAACATTGCTAATTTATATATTTAAATGCAAAACTATTTTTAAATATAAAAGGAAAAAAAAATTTGCCAATTTTTTTTAGTAATCATTACTGATATTATTATTATCACTTTCTTCATTACTTTCTATCATTTTATCTATTCTTCCTTCTCTTTCTTCTCCTTCTATCTCTGCTCTATCAAAATCATTATTAAAATCATCATTATCATCATCATCTTTTTCATTAGAATTAAAATTTCAGGTTTGCAGCTCTTCGCTAAATAATATAATAATAATAATAAATGCAAGTTTATGAAGTTTATTATATTTTATATAACATCTTGTTTCAGAAATTTTTCAGAAATTTTTATATCTTAATTAATAGGATTTAAAAATACCTTGCATATGCTAATTGTAATAATTGTAAACGCAATTTTAAGATCAGAGATATTTTTTTGCTAGACCATATCTTATTGATAATCTGATTCATAAATGTATGTGATTCTTCACTTTTATCTTTAAAGAAGTCATTGAAGCATTTACTAATAGCTGGATTAATCTTCTATTGTTAGATTTGTGAAGGTTTTGTATTAGTATTAATTTAGAAAAGTTGTAACACTCAAAATATAATATAATACACTTTTGATATTGAACACTAATATCTTACAAAAGCTTTAATGTGTACTTATTAAAAAAAAGATTTAATAAGATTGAATTATAATTATTAATAAATGATTTAAATCATTTTTTATTTTCTGACTAATTTTTACTTCATAATAAATAATCCATTTATTCTTTCTATTATATTTTCTAAAATATTTCTTGTATTCTTTAAGTAAAATACTAGTTGAATGATGATAAATAGGAAACTAATTGAGTTAAATCTGGGTTGTCAGATTTAAGGCACAAATTACAAGCTAAGTATTACATCTTATGAAAATATATGTCAATGTTGGTTTATTGCATTAAGCTTGTTTTTTTAACTTTAAAGAATTTTTCAATCTTTTCTACTAGCCTTACATATTCTTCTGCATTATCCTGTTAGAGTATAAACATGCGTATAGTTTCTAAACTAGCAATTGCAGTACTAGTACTAATAATAGGTCTCTCGCAACTATTGTCCATTTCTTTCAGATTATTATTTTCTTCGTCAGTATTCTTAAAAAGATATGCAAGTTCTTCAATAATTTGATCATCTTTGGGGACTTCATAAGTAACATTCTCTTCAGAAATGTTAAGAAACTCATTTAATGGCATTGGATGGGAGAGATTAAGGGCTTGAAATGCATCCGCAATATTATTAAACACCAAACTTTCATCTTGATGAATATTTTCTGAATCATTACTCAAATCTGTATCTGTATCAGGAAGAATTTTTGTATGATACCAGCAGTTACAAATGGTTCTAGTTTTAACCTCATTCCAGGCTTTGATGATAAAATGAATTGCCTGCAAGACATTCATACGTAAATCTTCTGCACAGTTACCTGTCTCCATATGTTGCAACAACAAGCTTTTAAAGATAAGTAGTTAGATTTTAAATGCTTGATATTAATATATGCCAAATTTAATATAAATATATCTTACTGCATATGATGATGATGATAGTTTCTTTTAAAGGTCATGATTATTTTAGCGTCCATTGGCTGAATTTTTGAAGTCGTATTCAGAGGTAAAAAACAAACATCAGTGTATTGTAAGGAAAGGCCAATTAATTTATGGCTAGAACAGTTGTCAAGAAGCAGCAATACACGTTGGCCATGATGTTTTAGACCAACTTGATGATCAAATTCCTGAATTCACTTTTGGAAAAGTAACATAATTATCTAGGCTTTAGCATTATTACAGTATGTCATAGATATATTTTGAATATTTATATTTTTAAAACAATGTGGTTTTCCATATTTGCCAATTATTAAAGGATCTAATTTGTGTGAGCCATCAGAATTTACACATAATGTAATCGAAAAATGTTCTTTATTTACTTTACGTCTAGCAAGACGTTTGGTTGCAAGTATTCGATCAGGTTCTAACCTACAAATATAATCATGCAAGATAAGTACATTTTTTTAAGGTTTATTTTCTTAATTTTTTTTTATATTACTAAAATTTACCTATAAAACAATCCGGTTTTATCCAT